ATCATGACTCTCCACAGCCTCTTTTTCTTTTAATATCTGTAAATTACCATAACCTCTTGAGAAAGGCAGTGGAGTGGTTTCCTTTCACTTTCTCCTTGGTTTGAGTTCAGAGTTTTCTTTCTCTTGGACTGTTTGTCACCCATGGTTTGAATTTAATTTAACCCATAGCTGGTAGGGAAGAAATGGATTAATACCTTTCCCAGACGCATTTGTGCAAAAGTTCATCCAACAGACTAGGAATTTGAACTCTGTTCGCTGATGTCACTTCCACTTGAATATCTCTGACACTATGCACACTTTCCTCTCAGATCATAAATACATAAAATAGACATGGGTAGAAATCACTGCAAAACCTTAGTGGTTAAATAATTATTCTATTTTTGTACTGTTTACCACAAGATGATGTTAAGTGTTTAATATTCTTGAATGGTCTTGGGTTTGATGATAAACTACATTTGGCAGCAAAGTCTCTTGTCAGGAGATTGGAGGTTTTTAGGGGTGTAGAACCACCTCTTAATTGTTGTTCTCAAGTTCAACCAGACGTACAGTGTCAACACCTGTTAGGGTCCCAGCTATGGGTAAATAGTGAACCCCCAAACAAAAGCAAAAAACTATGAAAGTATAAAAAATACATTTTCATAGCAAAATTAACAGCAATACATAAAAAAATACCAGCAACACCTATTTATAGTAAAACCACCAACAATACCTACTTATAGTAAAACGACCAATAGTACTTACTTATAGTAAAATGAATGACAATATACTTTACCTGTAGTTGAATTCAAAATATAGTAGTTTACATTCAAAATATATTTAGTTGAAGCCATAATATTGTGTTCAAAATATTTAGATTTTGTTATTAAATAACCCATAGAGGTGTTGATATGCAGCTAAACAAAATCAACTAACCAATATTCTTAAAATCTTATTCCTTGTGCTCAAGGCATTGCAGGCCATTGCTTAACCATCTGAGAAAATGTCCTTAAAATCACGAGAAATGTATAACTTATAAGCATTGTAAAGGAAAATCAAAGTGGAAAAAGATTTATTGTGTGACACTTTTTATCTTTTAGGATTTCATTGGATTAAAGTGATGTTTACATTGCTGTAACTAAAGATGCACATGAAGGCAAGGGGACACTGAAATTTTAAATTTAAATTTGTTGTATTTTTTTCTTTTATGTTCATATAATCTTTTATTTAAATTCCTTGAGGTTTCTCTTATGTATTCTTTGTGACAATTATTACAGGAGATATTTCAGATGCTTATTTTATTTTGTATTAAGTCTTTTATTGTTTTGAAGTATATTTTGTGTATATAGTCTAACCAATTTCATTTAGTTTCTTTTTATCACTTTTGTTATTAAGTCTCCCACATTGTGATAATAGATCTGCCAAGAAAGGTGGAATGTTTTAAGAACCTGGATACAAACTTACTGAGGATGATATAGCGATTAATGCACTTACTCTACTATTTTGTCTTAGTAAATCGTTTTCTCTTTTAATTAAAGTATCATTTTTTAAATACAAATTATGTTCAGACTCATTATGGCAAGCAACTAATGCATTGAGTGAGTTCTGTAAAAGTTTCATTTTGTGTTCATATAATCTTTTATTTAAATTCCTCTAGGTTTCTCCTATGTATTCTTTGTGGCAATTATTACAGGTGATAGAGTAAATTCCTCCTTCAAGCTTTAGCTTATTATTTTGTTTTGTATTCTTCTTCTATGTGCTACGTCCCTTCAGGACATTGGCAATTATGACACTCCACAAATTCCTGTTCTTTGTAGCTCTTAATAAATTTTGTCTTTTTGCTATCTCCTAAACTCTGTTTCACCAACTACTTACACAAGCTTGTTAGGAAGGTTATGCAACTGTTTTCCTCTTGTCTTCACTATGCCCTGTGAGTATCAAATTCTCAAAGCTCTCTTGCCTTGTTATGTGCCCTAAATTTCAACTATTTCTTTCTGATGTTAAGTGTCCTTTTTGTTTCCATTTTCTCTAAAACTTTGTTGTTGCTCATGTGTTCATTTCATGCTATTCTCAGCATCCTTCTGTAGAACCACATTTCTGTTGCTTCAAGTCTCTTCTTCATCTGTGAGGAGATTGTCCAGCATTCATTACTGTATAGGAAGATTGATATTATATAACAGTTCAGTACTCTTTTAGTGATAACATCTTCTAATGAGCTTAAATTATTTTCAATCATAGTTTTTTTATCATTTCAACCTAAGCAAGGCAATAAAGCCACTAAGAAACAGTGGGGGTGGGTAGGGGGTGTTACTGTGTTTGGAAGAATATAAGCAAAAGAAAAACATTATTAAGGAGAGAGAACAATAAAAAAACAATTATTCAGAAGACAGAAGATAACAATCGATATTGCATTTAAATTTTTGAAGATCAGACTTGACTAGAAAGCAAGAAGCCAGAAGAGAGTTCCACAAGTGAGAAGTGCAAGAAAAATAACTGTCTAGCAATTTCAACTGTAAAATGAGGAGACCTTGCTATCAATCTAGTACTGTGCTTAAATTCATAAAGTCTATGTACCATAGAGGAAAGTTCATCAGAAAGTATTAATTGTGATAGAGTTGGTGGGTAGAATAATATATTGTAAAGCTTTGTAAAGTAAATTCCTGTTTTATAATTATACCCAATAATGGCATCCAAAATTTCCAGGAAATGGTTCTGGAAAGGCAGGTAATCTTTAAGAACCTATTCTGCTGTTTTGTTTTCAATCTGAAAATGGAAATAAATCACTTTATAATATCAAAAAGAATTACTCCATTTTGATAATTTAATAGAAAACATTTATTTATTAAGATATTTCCAGAGTGAAATTCTGTTCTTGTCATATTTCTATTCAAAAATATGATGCTTTTTGAATCTAGTGTCATCAGCTGTGTTATGGTTTCTTAGCCATATTCGAACTGAATCGCTGCACTTCCAAAGATCCAATGGAAGACCTATGAAATTTATGACTAGAAGATTTGCCAGATTTTTAACTTCAAGATGATTACTTTTGTCAGAATAAATTATATTCATTACAGAAAACCCTCTTTAGCTGCCACTGTACTTACAGCAATAATATTAATTATAATTTTAGTTCTTTGAATAGTTTGGGGTACAACATGTTTATGGTAATTTCTTGTTACATTTTCAATGTAATCATGGAAGTCATTAACTAAGATCTCATGGCGAAATACTTTACAAAAATCCAGTAACTTCTCTTCAGCATCTTTCCAGGGAACTACAGCTTTTTCCATATTCCAAGAATCCAACAACCAGTTCACTAAGCTTTTATAATTTTTAAGTATCAGTTTGTGTGAACCAGTAAGATGCCACCAGTATATGTTGATAAAAATATTTACTTCAGGACATGGGTGATCATATCTTCTGGTCTTTTGTTGCTATAAGGAACTTTTCACTCTCTATTATCCCTTTGTTTTGTTTTTTACTCTTGTTCTGCCATTTATCCAAACAAACCTCTTACATCTCTTGTCTTTGCCTTCAGTATATTGTATGAGCCTTAAATTCACTGGGCCCACTTTTCTTAATTTATATCCCAGAAGTTTCAGCTCTCTCTTTCTAATTGTAAGTATAAGTTTTCTTGTTCTTCATATCTTTCTTAAAACTTCCTCATTACTTACATGTTCTGTCCATTTGTCAGTAGAACTACATATTTGTTGCTTCAAGTTTTTTCTTCATCTGTGAGGAAATTGTCCATTAGTCACTGTCATATGGGAAATTACCTATTACATAGGACTTCATAACTGTTTTCTTTGTTTCTAATGACCTTTTTGTAGCAATGAAAGTCTTGTCAAACACATACCACACATAAATTCTTTGCCAAAAGTAAAAAAAGCTATGTCTCAAGCTCATTGTTAAAGAAATTGGCAGGTCATGCAAATTATTTATCTGACCAATGATAAGCATCTTGTATGCCTATATAAACCTTTAAGCATTGATTGCTGGGGAAAGCTACTCTGAAAACTTATACATGTTGGTGACTGTTATTATTTGCTATCTTTGATGTGTCAGTGACTGTTATTTTTTTTTTTACTTTTGCAAAAAATTTTTTGTGTTTACAATTTTCCTATTTACATTGTTCGGACTATTGTCCTCATCTTTATTGTCATGTTCACAACATTTTCACCACGGTACTCTCCAGCCTTCTACAGAACTGAACCCTTTATTTCATCCACTGGGGTAGATTATTCTCATTCCACATGCCATGCCTTTTTTGGATATCTCAGCTTCAGCTTATTTCTCTTTAGTAACTCAACCCTCCAAGTTTTTGTTCATCTCTGCTGTAGTCAGGTATTGAACTCACAACTCTTTGGGTCAAGTCACTGGATTACTTCATCCAATGCTTTTGTCCACTGGGCCATGTGTCCTTTATCATGGTGGATGAAATAAAGAGTTTGGTTCAAAATTCCAATGTATATCACCTGAAGAAAGCCGGAGTATGCAATAGCTGAAATGTTGTCAACGTGACAATAAAGATGAGAACATCAGTTCAAACAATGTAAATCGTTACAATACCTCATCTCAGAAATATAAACAGATATCATTTTCCTATCTCCTTGCTTAGTTTCTCAAAGGTTTCTTTCATTGCTATAATGCACTAGATTTCTATATCAAATTTTCTCTTACCTTTTACACAAATATTTAAATTTCTATACCTGTTTGATTTTGATGCCCCCAATATGTAACTAACATATTTGTCTGTCTCTTTTGCTAACAACCATGTTTTCTCTCTCTTTGCTTTCCTTTACTACTTTGTCTAATAGTTATTTTGGTTTCCTTTCTGAGTCTGCCATTAACACAATGTCATCTGGGTATCTTATGTTGATAAAATTATGTCTGCTGATAATAAATCCCGGTAGCATTTCTAGTTTTCTTAAGAGCAACATACTTAAAGATTAAAACACTTTCAGACCAGATTAATTGTTAAATAAAAAAAAAGATTGTTTTTAATCATTTTTTTCTATTTATAGGAGCCAGAGAAACCTGAGTGGAACAACATTTGGGATGCAACTTATTATAGGCCAGCGTGTCCCCAGATTCCCTGGTATGTACGGGAAACTGTACCAAAATTTGGTAAAATGGATGAAGATTGCCTTTATTTAAATGTTTTTGCACCAAATGTAAGTTTTCAAATGCTTTCTCCTTGAATTGATATTTTTTATTGTAAAATTATGGATAAACTCTTCCTCGCTGCTTATCAGGTGTTGATATAAAAAATCTGGTTACAAAATAATAATTTACTAAACTCAGCTTTGTCTGCTCCACATATGTAAGCCACCCAGTAAGAATCAAATGTAATGGTAAGGCAAAGAAAGATGAGGAAATTAGTCCCAAATTATCAATGAGAATCAAACCCATTATATTGTAACTATTTACAATATTTACATTGTTTGGACTGTTGTCCTCATCTTCATTGTCATTGTCATATTCATGACATTTCAGCTGTTGTATTCTCCAGCCTTCTTCAGGTGATATATATATGCGTGCATATGGCCACATGGCTGAGTGGTTTTATATATATATATATATAGGGTGTTCCAATAACTTGGACCGATTTTAAATGTGATTTAAGTTTAAGCGTCTAATGATTTCTTTTTCTTTCAGATTTGACAACTTAAGTTTTTGGCAATTTCAACTATGGAAAATTAATAATCAAACATCATGTTAAAGTTATCAAAGCCTATTACAAAAATGGACATTCAAACAGAAATGTATTTTGTGCACTTCATGATTTTTTTTGGGGGGGTGTCAACATAATCAATCAACCGAGAGTGTAATTGGAAAAATTGTTCATAAATTCAAAGAAACTGGGTCGGTGGCAGATGTGAAAACGCCATTGCGTGTTCGTTTACACCATTCAGCTGAAAACATTGCAGCAGTGCATGAGAATGTGGCTGAAAATTCAGACACCTCTGTTCGTCATCACATGCAGGAATTGAACCTCTCCACAACAATGTTACATCAAATTTTGACAAAAGATTTGTCTTTACACACTTACAAAATTCAATTAACACAAGAATTGAAACCTACTGGCCATTTGGAGTGCTGTACATTCGTTAACTGGATGCACAAGAAAGGAAAAGCCGATGAAGATTTTTCGCAAAAAATCCTCTTTAGTGATGAAGCCCATTTTCATCTTGATAGATTCATTAATAAGCAGAATTATCACATTTAGGCTGATGGAAATCCAAGATAGATTGTTGAAAAGCCACTGTATCCACAAAAGGTCACTGTTTGGTGTGCATATTTTGCTAGCGGAATCATTGGGCTGTATATTTATAAATTTGAATGTCCATTTTCGTAATAGGCTTTGATAACTTTGACATGTTGTTTGATTGTTACTCTTTCCAAGGTTGAAATTGCTAAAGTTGTTAAATCTGAAAGAAAAAGAAAAAAATCATTAAACGCTTAAACTTAATTCACATCAGTCCAAGTTATTGGAACACCCCCCCTCTCTCTCTCTCTCTCTCTCTCTCTCTATATATATATATATATATATATATATATATATATATATGCACACACAGAGTGTGCGATAGATAAATTATGCAAATATGAAAATAACACTGACAAAATGAAAATATCTTTAAATACTATAGAGTGAATTTATTCAATGAAATTGCCATTGGCTTCAACCATGCCTTCCAGTAAACTTTGGTCTCTCATTCAACTGTGCCCCACACATAATAATCAAGTGGGGGTTGCAGTCTGGGGAGTTAGGTGGCCAGATGTAAGAGGTGATGTGGTCGCAAAAATTGTCTGACAGCTATGCCTGTGTTCTCCTGCTTGTGTGGCATGGTGCAGAATCCTGTTGCCAGACATAGGGTCTTCCATCAGCTACCCTTTTCGTCCAGGACAGCACTACCTCCTCAAGGCAATTGATACACACTTCCATGTTGAGTCTGAAGCCCTCACCAACAAATTCAGGTCTTCTTTTCTTAGAATGATCAGAGAGATTTTTCCAAGCTGCCGTACCTTCATAATCACCGCTAGACTCTTCCAACTCTTTCGCGTTCCTCTTCACTGTACTCTGATTGACACCCAAAAACACTGAAATGTTAATATTGGAGCTTCTGCTGTGAATGCCAAGCAGTACAACATGCTGTTTCCAAATCTCTGGTAGAGTGAATTACAACATGGTGCTCTTTTACTCACAGATGGTGCCCAACTGACCCTACTATACTGTGTGCAGTTGACAAAATCAAAAACAAACAATGTATGCACAAAATTAAAAAATGTAAAATGATGACAATTTACCCATCGCCCACTGTGTGTGTATATGTAGGAATCTCTATCTATAAAAGGCAGGGTGTGTGTGTGTGTGACAAATGCACGGCTGCAATTTTTAATGGATTTGCACCAAAATTTACATGCACATGCTCCGAATTAGCAGAAAGGCCAAGACCAACTTTTCATTTCCCAACTCCCATCGATAGTGGAAATAATCGATTTTTTTGATGCTTCTACGGCTGTTTTCATGTAGTTTGCAGCCATTTTGTACTGGCCTGAGTGAGAGCCAATAGCTGGCTGCCACAAATAGGCAGGAAGATTCTATTGGCCAGTGTGAGAACCAACAGCTGACTGACACGAATGTTAGCTAGCATGCAAAAAAATTCGATAGCTGCATTCGTCACAAGTGGGAAAAATTTAAATCTGCATGGCACTTTACTCCAATTGGTTCATTTGCTTGCTTAAACTCATCATTGATTCTAGAACTGGGTTGGGTGTGAAAAAGTATTATTGTTAACATTCTTTTTTCATTCAGTTTTTCAAGTTACGAGTCCTTTTTTAAAGCTGATCGTTTTTGTGTTCATTTTGTTTAGTTCTTTTTTTCGTAACAGATTTAATGTTTAGTATAGAGCTTAGAAAAAATTCGCAGTGTGATAGGCAAGAAGTAAGGCATGTAGCAACATCAGCACAGCAAAGGGCACTCCTTTAAAGGCAAGGACGGGCAAAAATATTTTAAGTCAAGTGATAGCGATTGCTGTATGAGTCGTATGATTTTTGAATCTAGCACGGGCAACGCCGGGCCATGCTGCTAGTGTATGTATATAATGTTTTAAGGTATGCTATATTTATGAGTAAAAGTGCTCAATATTATGGATAGAACATATATATATAATATATATATATATATATATATATATATATATATATATATATATATATATATATATATATATATTTTTCTTTTTCTCTCTCTTCTTTCTTGCAGTTCTCTTGATGTAAAAAAAAAAACTAACACCTTGTATTTCATGGACAGAAATGGCTATCTGCCTCTTTTCTGTTATATAGATTTACCTTGGGCAGTAACAATTACTTTTTGTAACCATTCAGTGTAAGACTTTATTTTCTTTTTTATTAATACCAGTGTATTGAATGTGATATTAATATGTGGACAAGAAAAATATTTGTGTGCTTTGAGAAAGCAATTTTCAATTGCTCTTCTTTTAATATGTCTGTTTTTACTGCAATAAATTATCCTTGTAGTAATTAGTAATTGAAATACTTTGTATTTATTTTTGGTAAGTTTACAATTAAGAAAAAAGGAAAATTATTTTGTGAAAATGCTTTATCAAAGAAATATTTTTCTTGTCTCAATATCAATAATAAAAGGGAATTTAGAGTCTTACACTGAACGGTTACAAACAGAAATTGTTACTCTCCAAGATAAATCCATTAAACAGAAAAAAGAGAGACAACCACTTTTATTCATGAGGCACTATTTTTTTTTTTTTTTTTTACATTAAAATTCACCGAGTTAAATATGCATCCTAAATTTAAGGGTTTAACATGAAAAGGTTGGACCTTGTATCCTCCTCCTCTATGCTGTTAGACTCCTTTGAGGAGTCTAGGGCAACAACCTCACCACACTAGCTGTTGTGGTTTCTATAGCAAGTAGGTTTTTACGGGGATAGAGTTGCCAGCCCCATATCCAACTGCTTTTGAATTCAGGGTTGTCTTTCTCCTAGACTGGTTGCCAACCAATGCTTGAGAATCCACTCTTCCTGCTAGTTAACCCAAGGCTGGAGAGAGAAGAGATGGATTCAAATCTTTCCCAAATGTATTTGTTTGAAAGCGAACACAACAAATCTGGCTGGAATTTGAACTCAGCATGCCAATTCCATCTTCCGTGCCATTAATCTCTACACTTCACTCTCACATCCTTACCTTCTTACTTACGTATATAGAGAAGCTTATGGACACATCACGTTGAAACAGTTCCCATACAATCTATGAAGCAATATTGAGTCTGGTCACTACCTAGATGGGTGACTGTTTAGGAATACCAGGTGCTGTAAGCTTGGATGTGCAGGTGGTGTAATGGATGATGGCTCTGAATTGGAGAGCCAAGTTCCAATTCCAGTTGGGTTCAATGTATTCACTTATGAGCACAATGCCCATACCTTTTGGGAAAGGTATGAATGTACCTCTTTTCTGCCCAGCTATGGGTTAATTAGTAAAACTTGTATCAGTAAAACGATTATTATCTACAAAATAAAATTGTGTACAAAATATTTAGATTTTGGCATTAAATAACCCATTGGTGAATCAAAAGGTGAATCAGGCAGCACTTTGGGCTGATGGAAGTGTTGGTGTCACTTGTAGCCATTTTTATTGGCTGGTTCTGAGCTTTCATTGGCTGAGCAACGGCTGAGTCAGGTTCACTTTCTGAGCGACTGCACGGTTAAACTCTCTTCCTACGGGCGGGAGGAACCCGAAGGAGGCTACGCCCGGGGCGGAGTCTCCTTCGGGGAGGTAAAACCGCCCAGAACCCGTTTATACGGGTTCAAATGGGTTAATTTTTTGGCCGAGCCTAATGGCTCGGGAATTCCCACGTTAAAAAGGCCTTGTGCCACATGACACCCTCGTGGGGGGGTGACTGAATATTGTCAGGTGCATGGGTACACTCATTCAATAGTAGTTCACTTCTGATGGGGAGTGGTGTATCAAAGATCGAGACGCAAAGAGAAGTGTGAATTTGTATTGCCTAGTGAACCTATTGGACTCACACTACCTCCCCCCCCCTTTCTTTTCCTGTGTGGGCATCTAACCAATTTTTGCACACCCATAGACGTTGATATGCCGCTAAACAAAAACAACCAACTTGCATATATAGATGATTGTTATTAAACAAATATCTCTTGCTACAGTTTTTCAGCTTTCTTTTAATGTGATATGAATATTAATCCAAAGAAATCTTTAAATTTTTTTTTATTAGCTAACTACAGAGAAATTTCTTGATCCTGATCATGGCCCCAAGGGAAGAGTGATAGGAAATCCTTCACTCTATCCTGTTATGGTATTTATTCATGGTGGAGGATTTGTTGCTGGAACTTCACAACAGTACCCTGGCTACTTTATTGCAGAGCGAAATGTTGTGGTTGTAACAATCAATTATCGGCTGAATGCTCTTGGTAAGTTACTATGTTTTTGTGAATGAATGTTTTCTTGTTTATTCTGGTAAAAAATAGTTGCACCAGAAATATCTTCAGAATAGTTTCAGTTAACAGGAAAAAAGTCATTAAGTGAAATGTGGAAACAATTGTTATCATTTTGCATAAAAATATACAATATCAGAAACTTGCCTGGAAACTGAGGAAGTTGTGGAACATGAAGGTTATAGTTGTGCCTCTAATAATTGGAGCACATGGAATTATGCTAAAATCAACTTTAGAGATTAGAAGAATTGGAGATTTAAGGAAGGTCTGTTCAGATATTCGGTTGAGTCATGCATAGTTTTCGTTTAAGGGAAAATTATATATATATATGTGTGTGTATTTGGGTAGCAATACCTCTTTTATATAAGTTTGATTAAAGACAACTTTTTTGATTTAAAAAAAAAAGAGAAAAAAAACATGAAAACAATGGAAGCATAAATAATAAAAAAGAAAAAGCCAACACCCAACACTCTTGATAATATTGTTGCAGAGACTGGCGAATGTATCTTAGGTATCAGAAGGTTATTTTATCGATAGGGTTAATGATGTTAGGGTTCTTAAACATTCATCCACAACAAATTTAGAAACATGAGTATTGAAGACAAATCATTCAAAATAAATCAGAGCGAAAACAACGTAGTTCATGGATTTATATAGAATAAAAATACACAATTGAATCAAAGGTTGTTGAACAAGTGTGAAATGGTTGAGTTGAATTATGTAGTGTATTTATGCCAAGTTTCAGTGTGTGTGTGAAACTGTTAAGACTTGTGTGTGAAATTAAACTAAGTAAATGACTTTTGTGGCAGTTCAGTTAATAATGCGTATGCATGTGCTAGTTTGAATTATAGTCCAAAACTGGTATCATTTGTATACCTTTATCTGTTTTGATGTTTGATTGAATGTTTACGAATACTTGTTAGTAGTGAGTTATTATCACATTTTAGTATTGTAAGAAATTGTTCCTGGTAGAGCGAAATGCTGCATGTGTTGAGTCAGAGAAGTTTGCGCAGGAAAAGTGTAGCTGGTTATGATTTTGACTGGCGTGGATTAGTTTGGCATTTCTCCAGGATGAAATTCTGACTGTCCGTACTTGCGTGAATGCTGGTAATGATCTTTAACGTCTGACCGCATGGTTAAGATGAGCGCTCTTGAAGGTTACATTTTGGCAGCAAGAGAGAGAGAGAGAGAGAGAGAGAGAGAGAGAGCTTACATGTGGTTTGTTTATATAAGGACGGGTGTACTGTTTCCAGGATGCGTGTATTTCATTGAAATGTACACAACCCTTAGACAGTTAGCATAAACTCTCATCGACAATCAAGACTCTGAGACATGGTATGTTTTAGATGCAGGTTTATTGACAGTCGACAAAGGTAAAACTGAAAGAAATAAAAAACACGTTTCTTCAGAAACACAGAGATACAAAATGAAGGTGAGTATTTACTAAGACCTTAAAAGTAGTTGTAGGTATGATAAGCTTGCAGAATAGAAGCATTTGAACATAAAAAAATACTCATAGAAAGAAAAAGAATACAAATTATGCTGAGTATCAGTCGAATTCCGAGAGGAAAGATGGAGGTTCCGCACGTGGTGAGAAGGTAAACAAAGTTCGTTTATAGGAAGGAAATGATACTAAAAAATAATGCTTGTATTAAATAATTCCATAATAGGAAGGAAGAAAGGCGATATGCCATACGGCCGTGCTGGGGGCAGCTAAACTAGATAGGGGCCGAGCACCGGGAAACTTCAACCAGTGTAGGGTCAGAAAGAAGCCCCCAAGCTAAAGGGGCCGGTGGTATTTACTTGACTCCCACGACGTCAAGATGTGACACAAAGGGGCCTGTAAAGGGAGATGAGTGCTAGTCAGTCTATTGTACACTGAACAGAACACTGGGTATCACGTGACCGGCTTCGATCGAAAATGCGGGAAATATCATTCATCGCGTGCAAGCAAACTAGTTTTGAGGAGATTAACCAATGAATGCTTGTCGCATGATTTGTATGTATGTAATGATAATTACTACCAGGGAAGAGTACATTTCCCCGCAGGGGTGACTGGCAAACGTGGAAGATTCCACAATACAATATTATCTATGAACAGAACCACAATGTTCTGACCATGTTTAAAGAAAAAAAAAAAATTTCCCATCACTGTAGATATATAAAAATCTACATATTCAGTTAAAAATTAAAAAAAAAACATTCTTGACATAGGATTTCTAGAACATTTGGGCAGTGTTTTTTATTTACACACTTTGTGTCCAGAAAAGAAAAACATCTGTACAAATGCAACACAAAAAAAATGAATGAAAAACTTAATTGCAGTACCTTATCAGTCATCTTTAAAAGAAACTTTTATATATATATATATATATATATATATATATATATATAAAAAGAAAGAGGTTGTAGTGGTTCCAACGAGAGAAAAGTATGTATATTAAAAAGAAGAGAAGAGAGGTGCCGCAAACGTTTTTGGTTGTAATGTGGATTTATTTAGAAAAAAATATCATGCTTTGTTTTACATAATTGTACGACACGTGTTTCTGGTCTCGCGACCGTCTTCAGGTAAAAGCGGCGATTTCCACATATTATTAAAAATAATTAATTTTTTTCCTTATGTTCAATGTTAAATATTCTCGATATGAGACATTCTCTGTTTTTGTGTTAGTAATCCAAATTTCTTTCTTGGAGAGAGAGAGAGAGTTATGACTTGACTTTTTGTAAAATAAATGATTTCCTGTATCATAATTCAATGAACATTTTTTCAAAAATAATGAAGGACTTAATTACATTTATTTTTAAAAAAATGTTACCCCAACACAAAATTTCTAAAATTGTATATATAAATATAGTAGTACTATGCTTTTCTGGGGCCTTCTAGAACTTGTTTTTGTTTATTTGTAAAGTTGTATGTTATGCTATAACTATAAACTGTTAAATGTGTTTAAAAATACATAAGTCCAATTAAATCATTAGCAAATTGAAAAATAAAGCTTCTGAAATATTTTTATTTTTTACCTATATTGCATATATGGTAAAATTGAATTTTCTGTTTGGGAGGGGGACCTTTTTCAAGAACTAAAACAAGTTAATGACTTTTTCATTACTTTTGAACAAAAGTTCAATGATTGATAGCACAGGAACATACAAAAAAAGTCATAACCCTAATTTATATAATATACCGTTACACAACAAAATCCCAAATTACCTCATATGGGCTGGGGGATAGATCTAGTTCAACCAATGAAAACTACATCAGTCTTATTCAACCCCGGTGGTGTATAGACTTAGTTTGTGTCTGAATGTTCTCTGTTATAATAAATACATTGAGCTCTTTTTGTGGATTAGTTTTAATATTTTATATTACTAGGATCATTACCTGTAATATATTACTCGGATTTATTACCTGTAATATATATATATATATATATATATATATATATATATATATATATATATATAAGGATACTACACCAAAAACATGTAAAAATAGCTACACAATTGCAGTCATGTTTCAATGCATATTAATGTATCTCATCAGGTGATTGTAAATTACTGGCAAGTGAACAGTTTATAAAGATTTTAAAGCAAAATACAACCTCTTTTTTGGAAAAAAAAAATAATAATAAAGGGGGTTATAAGGTTTGTGGGCTCTACTCTGATCAACCAATCAAATATAAGCTACATTAAATTTAAACTAAACAAAAAAGCAAAAATTAAAAATTATTTTTATAAATGGGTGATGACCCATAGATTGGCAACTGCATTGTCTAGTTTGTATATTTTATGTAACCATATGTATACGTTATTTTAATAGATACAATTTATTTAAGTAAATGCTCTGTTTTTTAATTAAATAGTATCAATTACATTTACCAGCCTGAATGTTGGAGGAATTTTGTAGAAAATATGCATTCTCCAACAGGAATCGAGCCTGTGTCCTACATGGAACCGTCATTTGATCTGATGTGCTATACCACTTAGCTATAGAAAAGTGTCTGGTTAGCAAAGTCCAAATTAATGTTTTTAAACAACAAATCTTTGACAATATTTCCCAAATAATCATATGTACTCACAAAATATATCTTAATGTAAACAATGACAACATAATGAAATGAATTAAGTCCAACAATTATTTAATATATTTTCTGTTTATACATTATTTTAATAGATACAATTTATTTAAGTAAACATTCAGGGTGGTAAATATAATTAATATTGTTTAATTAAAGGACAGAACTGTTTTTTTTTTTTTTTTCTGATTTAAATATTTTTTCAATTTTCTCTGATTTAAATTTTTGATGAGAATTTTGAAGGTGTTTTTTTAAAAACAGTTTTCTATTTTCAGTTGTTTTTTTATTCAATAAAACCCTTTTTAAAAAGACATTTTACCTGTTTGTAGGATTTTTAAGCACTGGAAACGCCATTGCTGCTGGAAATTATGGCTTATGGGACCAACTCTTGGCTCTTCAATTTATAAAAAATAACATAAAGTATTTCCGTGGTGACCCTAACAAAATCACAATTGCTGGCCATGATGCAGGAGCAGCCAGTGTAGGGATTCACCTTCTTTCCCCACAATCTGATAGTAAGTAAATTTATCTTTTCACTTTGATTTTTTTTTTTTCTTTAATTGTACTTATCATATACACTTGAGTATAGTGTGAGTTTTATGATCAGTTTTTTACACAAAAATAAATGGTCGCATAATACACATGTCACTTTTTCTGGAGGGGTTAAAATTCATACATTTTTGGTGACCATCACCTACCTGGCAGGCCTACATTCTCACTGCCTTTGGCTAATCTTAATGGTGCAAGTAAGCTCCCTTATCCTGTAATGACACTAAGAGCAGAAACAGGAAGTTATCTCTTTCATAGCTTAAAACATATTTTAGGCTCTGTGCAATAGGCTTCATGCATAACTTCTGGTTGTAGTTGATTAAATACAATCCTAAATAAATATATGTTGACCAATAAGAAATGAGCGCACCTGAAATAAGCAACAACTTAATTGGAGCCTCTTTCAACTTCGCTAACAATAAATAGACCCCTGTCTAAAAAAAGAAAAAAGATTCCAACAGGAGACACATAGAAAAGACACAGAGGGATGAACACTTACAACTGTGAGTGGATACATCAAAGGTATCTCGGCTTTAACAACCACTACCACTCCTCACACCTTACTCATCATTTTCAACCCCCCCCTTTACCTTTACTTCTCTCATACATTCTACCCCCTTTTCCCTTATTCAAGGACATATTACCAATTGAAACTAGCATCTCTCAAAGACACTTAAGTACATTTACAAACTCTTGTATTCATTGAAATGCAATAAAAAAATGTATTTAATCTTACTTAAATACCAACCTTGTGCCATCTATGAACATTACCACATTGTACAATGCAAAACCATTTATTAATGTTTATATAAATTATTTTTGTTATACTTGATTGTTCTTAAGATGTAATTTATCATTCATACATCCCTTATAGTGGGCTAATCCTAACAAATCCCAAATTGAACCCCACAGATAACCGACTATAAGTCTGCCTCCTGTAGCTTTGATTCTTTCTTTCTGTTGCTACATAAACAGCAGATTGTGCCACTTAGAATCTACAAGAATTAACAATTTTGTTTTTCCTTTTTCCAATTTGTGTTTATTTTGATTCACACATTTACATTACTGAGCTATCACTTTTCCAATCGCATCTTTTTTCTCTGATACGTAACTATACTGTATATATTTCAATTGTGTTCCTTATTCTGTCATCCTCTGTTTATTCATATTTATTTTTATTCTTTACATTTACTGGTGTTATTTTAATAATTCTCCATTACATATTCTGCCATAGTCAGACATGAACATAATCAAAAATACAGTATCTAAATCTTTGTATTAGATATTTTATGATAAGTGATTTTTGGGGTAGCTTTGTACAAAAAAGAATTAAAATATTTTTCAGGATGATGCCCAGTACTGCAAAATTTAGCTACAGTAGGCCTACTAGTCTTGCTCAGAAACTGGAGTTTCATTATACAAAAGCTATATGAAAAAATCCAGTTTTTCATTATGCACAATGTAGTTCTAGTGCAATGGTCACATGGTCTCTCCCACCCCCTGAATCTATGATCCCTACTCCCACTCTGCTACGTTTCAATTTTCATAAGATAGTATTCATATAAAATACAAATTTTATTGTAACCTAATTATGTACAATAATGGATCATATGCAATATAGGTGAACAATTGAAATAAATACACTGTAGCTAAAGACATATTAGAGACATGTCATAATAGATCATTCCATCTTAAATAAATTAATGTTTTGCTACAATTTTTAACATCAACTCGAGATTTCTCTTGTTAAAAAGTTGAATAATTTTAACACATTCAACATCATGGATAAAATAATAGTGAATTTCATATAGTGTTTTTTTTTAGACTTGAGCAAAAAAAATTCACAGATTTGAATGAAAAAACCCAGAATGATGTCAAAATACACAAAAACTTTCCTCCTTTAATCATCAGTTGTACTTAGTTTAATTTATAGAGTATATAAATGTAAGTAGAAAAAAGCAAATGTTGATAAAATAGCAAGGGTCACACAATCAGGCTTGCTGCTATATCTATATAGGACTAATACAAATATAAAATTTGTCACTTAGCTGATTGATGTTATATCATTTCACCCCAAGCAAAGCAATAATACCATTAACACGCAAGGAGTTACTGGGGGTGAAAGAGAATGAGAAGACTTTAGAAGGAATTGGAAACCTAATCCTAAACAGGAAAAAAAGGGCTAAACCTCTTCTCCTGTTCAAAATTCACATGTTTAAATAAACAAAAAAAAGATCCCAGAATGTCAAAATCCACAAAATTTTTTATCCTTTCATAGTCAATAGTCAATTATGCTTAGTTTTATTTGTAACGTATATAAATGGAGATAGAAAAAAGTAAATAAGATAGTGAGGATCACAAAGTACTGTTCAGGGGCGCCAATCAGGTTCTTTCCCTAGTTGGGGGTTCAGTAGTAATACACACCAGCCCTGCTTATACACAGGTATATATGGTAAACCACAAAATTTATGAACTGCAATTCTGTTGCTTTTTAGTTGAGATACTATTTACTCCAGAAAATAGTGATTCTTAACTTTTTATTCATGTACATCCATCTTTTAAATCACAAGACTGTCCTTACAATACTACCAATTATTATTATTATTAAAGAAAGAACAACACTATTCTCATGGGCATCCAAGAACATCACTTTTGTCTGAATTTCTAGTTATCATTATTTACATTATTCACTGTTGAATTAATGTATTCATCTTTGTTTTTATTATCACAACATTACAGCCATTGTACCCTACGTTCTTCTTCAGGTGTCTGTTGATCCAGGTAATTTATAGGAAATTTCAAACAGATCCCTTCAATTTATGGGGGTAAATTATTCTCGTTTGGCTATTCATCTTTAAGGATATCTGATATTGTTATTTTTTTTTCCATTGCTTGTCTTGTTTTCACCCTAACCCATGCTAGAGATTAAACCCACAATTACTATACCATCAAATTCATGGCCAAACACTTCATGCTATTTTTCACGCAATACAAGGCCCAAGAAAAACATTGAAGGTTGAGGATTACTCAATGACATTATTGCAAGGGAGGGAAGCAAGTAGTGTATATTATGAGACTATGTAGGATGAATAACAGTTAACTCTAGACTTTGAGAGGTTAACATCATAATGATCATGAAAGCATCCTCTTGGGAGTCTTATCCACAAAGTAACAGTTCTGCAGAAGATGTGAGTGAAACTTCCGCCTTGCCAATGCTTAAATGATTGAACTGCAAGAATGATTTTTTTTGTGAGTGAATATTAACAAATTTTTTGAGAATTAGAATGATTTTCCAGATACAAGTTTTACTATTTAACCCACAGTTGGGGTGAAGTACACCACTCATTCCTTCATATTCCATTGATAAAACAAATTCCACTCAAACAGCCTCTTCCCCAAAACTACTACTTTGTGGAACAGGCTCGTAAGAGAATGCTTTCATCAACACAATAATCTTAACCTCTTTTAGGGTTATTATCTATACTACATATCTTCATAATCTACACTTCTTATTTCCTCCTTTTATATTCTTAAAACAAACTCATTGAGAAACCCACTATCTTGAGTGGCTCTTGGGCCTTGTATTGCATGAAAAATAGCATAAACATGAGTAGTAATAGCCAACGTAACTAATTTACAAATACATTTTCCATAATGAAAGGCCCAACAATAACTGATACTGAATTTAATTTGAATTCTTTCTAACATTAGGAATTGCTGATAATCTTTTGTGTACTGATTTATTTCAGGAATGTTTCATTATGCTATTATGATGGGAGGTTCTGATTGTAATGGCTGGGCTGTCAGATCTCCTAGCAGTGCTGCTTACTATGCGACTAACCTGGCTCAAAAACTTGGTTGCCCTTCTAATGACAATCAGAGAATGATTAACTGCCTCAGAGATAGGTCTGCAATGGAAATAGTCAATGCTTCAGTTTGGATACCTTTAAAAGTAAGTAGACATGGCTTCCCTGGACATACATTAACCATTTTTTCTTAAATATTGATTTTGCTTTTAAATCCATTTTACCTGGAAGGCCACAGTTTTAATAAACTGTAAATGTTCTACCTTCTCTGCAAGTTTTAGCACTATCAAAAATAATTCCCATTGATATCCAAGGGAGATAATTATTTGCTGTCATTTAAACTGTAATTTAATTATAATACCTTCTTAGTGTGTCTGTGAGTGTGCTCATTTTGTGTAAAATAAGAATGAACATGCATTTCAAACTTGTATACATTTTATTCACTATTCGATAAAAATAAATGTGAACATAACCAAGGGATGATTGGTGGATTAATTGCATGTGATAGGGGACATGAGAAAATGTCTGACAGCCATCTTGAAATCCCTTTTCTTTTCTGTTGTCCTAAATCAGTGGTTCCCAAATTTTTTTTCTGGGATGCATTTTTGGAATGAAAATTTGCTTGCATCTCACCAAATTTTATGTGATAAAAAGTACATTTAAAGATAAAAAAAACAGAGTGAGGGTTAAAGAGAGATAACCACAAATTCAAAACCAGAACATTATCATTGGTAACTCTCTCCTCCAATTTGCAGACAAGTTACTACATTCTTAATACTTGATATAATGCAAAAATATCACTAATAAAATCAGTCAATAATTATTTATAACTTTTTATACTGGGCCTCAGCATGCAATTACAAGTAATGCATAATAACATTTTAAATTTTGAAATCATAATTATTTTCATCATTCGAATTTTTTTAAACTGTTTCCCTTTGATTGTCTTTCAATCATTTCATCTCATCTGCTATCTTCTGCCACACCTATGAGGCACACCACACTGTTTGGGAACCACTGTTCTAATCAAGGGGCATAACTTGGTTCCTATCTAGGGATTGAGTTAGCTCCCTTGTTATGACATCCATCCTCACACTTCTAAAATCTGCTGTCATCTTATATAACAATTGAAGAGGCTCTAAACTGATCTTAACTTTAAACTTACGTGAGTGGAAACAACCCTTTTGATTGAACAATAAACTGAATTATTTTTGGCAGTTCTTTTCGAGCCAATTTTAATTTTTACAATCAAATGTAACACATTAAATTGAATTTTTCATAAGTCGTTTGGCTTTCTTCGAAATGCACTTCTCCTAAATGCAAGTGTAAAAGTCCAGACTATCATGGAATTTATTTATAATTATGTACTCTCTATTAATCAGTGTTTTTAATTATTTTGTATTACTAATAAAAAAATTTTTTTATAGAAGATACATTCTTTTTGTTCTTTTTTTTAAGTATGTTATTCACTATTTTTATAATTGTCTTGAATTACTATTCATTAACTGGCAGATATCTCATTAGCCATTTTAAAATTGTTGATGCAAGTATTACAGATGGAATAATGTTTACATATGCATAAAGTAAATGATTTTATTATGAAGAGAGGAGTTGTCATTAAGGAACTCAATCTATACCAAAACAGTATGATTATTATATGTAGTTTAAATTAAAGAAGAGAAAGTCGAATGTCATTTACCTCCAAGGTGTGGGAGAATAAGAAATGGCGACAGGTGGTTTATTTTATAGAAAGATATTACAGCCAACCTGAGGAAGAAATGAATTGTGGGAAGGAAGGAAAACTGTAAAACTCAACCAAAAATAGGTATCAGTGATATTTTGTTCATTTTGTATGGGAAAGGTTGCAAGAGAGGAAGAAGATTGAGAGTAAGGAAGGACAGGAGAAATCCTGGGAGAAGCTTCTTTTTATTTTATTTTAAGCTTTCAAAGCACAATATGTGTGTTGATAGATTTGTTTTTTACAGTTTATCAACTATTTATGGGTTATCTAAAGCTGAAACATATATTGGATTTCAAGAATAATTATATTTTTTTGCAAGGAGATTGTCCAGCATTCCCTACCATATTGGAGGATTGATATTATACATTGAATTGGCTAAATAGTTTGTTTTTTTTTTGGTTTAAGTAAATTTTTTTACTTCATAAAGTCAACAAACATTTTAGCCAACCCATTAGAATTTTGGCACACAGGATATATTAAAGGCAAGAAGGTTCAGAGGGAAACAGCAACCTATCTTACAAGCTTGCGTAAATGGATGGTAGAACAATGACTGGTTGATTGCTTGATTGGTGGATATTTAAAGCCAAAAAACATATTTTGCACTGGGCGAACAATATTCTTTTTTTTACATTAGTGAATATTTCATCAACAATGTTTTATCATAAATAATGATTTCTCCATAGCTGGGTGTGGGGAAGAGATGGATTCATTTCTTTGCCAAGAGTATTTACATGTAACTTGTAAGTGAATATAATGAACTCAACTGGAATTTGAACCCAGCTCTCCAATTTCTCATTCTGAACTGCTATCCATTACACCACTCGCACATCCTATTATATTTTTTTAAAATAATGTGTAAATGTATTATTAATGGTTTTATATAGAAATGCATTGAAAATCCTGAAAATATTGTTGCCAGTGATCAGGAATATAAATATTTTTGGAGAAATTTATAATGTATAATTAAAAATTTTTTTTTTTCTTCTACCTGATAGAATGGGGAGATTGGCAATCCATTTGGGCCTGTTGTTGATGGACCTATCAAGGGAAATGCCATCAGTTTCCTTGCTTATCTACCAAGAAGACTGCGAGACCAAGGACGGTATAAACGTTTCAAGGTTATGGCTGGATTGACTGTTGATGAGGGAGCCTTTTTTATACGTGAGTTCTTCCATGAGTTTCAAATTGACAACAGTAATTAGCTAAACTTGGAAATTTTAATTGTATAATGTTTGATCTATGTGAATAATATTCAATGGATTAAGTGTATTTACAATGAATATATATATATATATATATATATATATATATATATATATATATATATAATATATGTCCAAAGAATGTTAGGCAAGTGAATGACAAAGTGGAAAAAATTGTGTAACACATTTGGTCGACTAGAGAAGGGCTTAGAGGATGGAATGCATTATACAGAATATATTGGATTGTGCATGAAACACAGAGTTGTGCGACTGGTGATGAAAAATAATGTAATATAGCCGAACTGAGGGAGGCTTGTCTGCTCTCAGCTTCCATCATTATTGTTGCTAATGTCAATAACAAAAATGAAAGAAGGATGGGCATATGGCTGAGTGGTTAGAACATTCACTTTCCAACCATAAGATCCAGGTTCAAATCTCACCATGGCTGATTTGTCAGAAAGGTGACTTCTTGATATTATTAACCTGGGGAGGCAATTCCTGAAAACCATGTCACTGGTTGACCCAAGCCTTTGGGAAATTGGGTAAATGGAATTCTTTGGGCACCGTTAAGTCATCATGACTGAGTAACTGGCCTTATTCAGACTGTTGATCACACCAGGTAATGCACTCTCTCCCAGAAACTAATTAATGTCTGTTCAGCATAGTTGCAGTATAAACCACATGTGGACTCAGTGGATGTTGAACAAACAAAAATGTGCCTCAGCAGGCGTCTGCAACAGGGATTGGCTAGTCACCCTAGTAGACAGCCATACTCAGATATTAGTGGTCAGCCATTAATAAATATATATATATATATATATATATAAAATTATGAAGAGTAAGCGTTCTCAAAGCAAATTTGTGGCTTTCACAACACAAAGAAAGAAAATCACTTGTAATGCGTCAGGAAAATAACTCACGAACGCCGTAGCCAAAACTGCCCAAATTTTCCTTCTCTCGGAGTAACATTGTACCAATACACCGCCTCCATTATGGAACACTGCTTCCTAGCAGCGATTCTTTTGATGCTCCGATGACATTGAAAGCATCGTAGATTGAGGCGTGCCTTTCATTTCCGCTAGTCATTTCTTAGCGTTGATAGCGGCAGTCTCTGGCAAAATGATTCGCCCAGCTGGCAAACGCCATGGTGACGAATGGCTGGGGTCGGACCTTCTTTGACTTCAATTGGTTGAATAACTGCGCCATTGGTTCATCAGCCTCTTTTTCGTCGATCATGACAGCACGGGCTCTGGTCAACAATTGATTGAGCGTCAGGTCTTCCATTCTGGATGATGCGCGGAGTATCTGCTTAACATGACTGGGCAATCCAGAAACGAAGGCACATGTCATCCATTCTTCAGGAAGCGGTTTGCGATTGGACGGCGAGCTTCTTTTAATTCTGCCAAATATACGTCTACTGTCTCGCCAGGTCGCAGACGCCGTGCCTGGAATTGGTCGTAGGCCACGAACCGGTCAGTTCCAAACGCGGTTAGTAGAGCATGCTTATTTGCTCAATGTCACTTTTCTGTTCTTTACTCAGCTGCCTATACACAGCAAGGGCACCGCCATTCAATCGCAGAGGAAGAATCCAATCAATCTTTGATATCTCGCATAATTCGCAGACCAGTTCCACCTTTTCAATCCATTTAACCACAGACTGTCCACTAGTATCACCACTAAATTCGGGGATCAGTTTTATATCGAACGGTCTTTCCGCTATCTTGCAAGAGACAAAGTAAATGCCGAAATAGCTTGAAGCTTGGGGGGAGTGTAGTGAACGAGATAATCAAGTACCCCAGAAAAAAGTTCGTGTTTTGTGTGCGATCTGCCGGGGAGGGATTGCCAAAATGCTGTCCATATCTTCGTCCTTTGGTCGAACTCTGCGCTAAAGTCGGCCTCTTTATTCTTAATCTTCTCCAGAGCGGGGCAACTGTTTTGGAGATTGTGTGTTATATTCTGAGGTTTCTTCTGATCTGACAACCTCATGTGCAGAGTCTTCATCATCTGAAGAATGTTCTGAAGATTCTTCTGGTCTGACAACCTCACGCACAGAGTCTCCACCATCTGAAGAGGTGCTAGCCCTACCTCCGATGGTAATTATTTGTTCACTTTCTGAGCACTCACTGCTAGTGTCACTTGTTGACGTATCTGTACCTACATAGCGGCGCAAAGTCCTTTATGTGTCTTGGTGTGCCATCAACCAGCACAGAACATTAGTTACTTGGTCCAGTGACATGCCCCACCCAGTACCGGGTTGTACACCGCTATGTGGAGATTTCACCCACATACGATCGCCAGAAGTCATCTTACGCTCGTTCGTTTATCCGTTCAGTTGAACGCGTTGCGTCAATGCCTCGTAGCCGGACTCGTCCCGGTATTTAGCCTGGATGGAGCTTACCACCCAATTTGGACTGCGTTCCCAAGCAACCCCACTATCGGATGCAAAGGTCACACGCCGTCCGCACCGAATGGGCCTGGCACCCGCCGCGGGCCTTGAACTCTCTCTCCAAAGTTCTTTTCAACTTTCCCTCACGGTACTTGTCGACTATCGGACTCGTCCCAGTATTTAGCCTTGGATGGAGCTTACCACCCAATTTGGGCTGTGTTCCTAAGCAACCCGACTCTCGGATCGAAGGCCATCGCTCGCCGTCCGCACCAAATGGGTCTGGCACCCGCCGCGGGTGGCCCCGATCGAGGGAACTCTGAACTACGTGAGACGAAAATGAGCGGCTGCCTTCGACCCATGCGCCACATGTCCCGAAGCCTTTTACTTGCGACAGGATTCGGCGTTGGGCTTCTCATGGTTCACTCGCTGTTACTAAGGGAATCCCGGTTGGTTTCTTTTCCTCCACTTAGCGGTATTTAAGTTCAGCGGTCGTCTCGTCCGAGCCGAGGGCGGCCTGGCACCAATTATTAACAATTATCCTACTCGATAACCTATAGAATAATTTGAAACATAACCATTACCGTTTACACAACTGTTCTGTTAAGATAATGCAATAGACCTTATTTCTGATAATGCCCAGCATATAGAGTCAAGCAAAAATACAACACACATGGCCTGAAAATTGTGTTCAAGCATGAAACAAACTGTCACCACTTGGTGTTGACCTCCATGTCTACTTTTATATTTACATACATTCTGTTTCTGATATTGAGAACTTTTACCTATAAATATAGCATACCTTGAAACTATATTTTTATCATTTTATATATATATATATATATATATATATATATATATAGTTTATGCAAAACTAGGTATTTCGTATGGGTAGATGATAGGAGGATGATATCCAGAGAACTCAATGTAAATTCAGAGCAGATATGTTTTGAATAAAAAACAGACCACTTTAAGGTTCCATGTAATAAGTTATTTCACCACAACCCCTTCAACCTTTGGAAGTAAAGTCTGATGATCCAGAGCCCTTTTAAAGGGGTTGTGGTGAAATAACTTATTACATGGAACCTTAAAGTGGTCTGTTTTTATTCAAACATATATATATATATATATATATATATATGATAAAAAAGAACAAATAAGAAATGTATATCAATCTAACATGTTTCACTTTCATTAAAGCTTTGGCACAGATTGAGAGAAAACAGATAAAAAGGTAGAAAAGACTGGTATTTTCAGTTATGTTTGGGTCAGTTGTTATTGGTCAGACATGTATCACATGTATTAAAACCATGGATAATTCTATGTGCATGTAGGTTTATGAAAATCATATGTCTAAGTGGGCAGCAGTTGGTAATGCGTATTTGTAATTGTGTGTGTGCGTCTGTCTAGTTGTTTTTTTTTTTTTATCTTCAGCCCTCACATCAGGGAGTCGCAGTGTTCTAGTTTATGGCTCACTTCTTTAAGAATGTATTCTTTGTATTAGATAGATATAAGCTAGATTCTATAAGAATGGATTCAAAGAATATGGCATATTTTGTTAAGTTTCTACTATTATTAGGTTTTAACATCAGAATTTTTCAATATATGAATATATACCTATTAAAAATGAGAGGATTACTTATGTATGGATTGGAATTTTTGTCTAGGATCCATATATTTGCCTAACTTAGTATTTGAAAGCTAATTTTATTGCCTTTAACTTGACATTCAAGCCAGAGCAAGATTTACTTATTACTGTGTTTTCTTTATTAGGCCAAAAAGTTACAGACAAAATATACAGAAACACACATACATATACCCAGTGCATTTATAGATATTTTTTTTCTTTTTTATAGCGAACTATTTCGGTCTGGAAGATGGTATCCAGCTTACAGAATTTGACAATTTGCTTTATGAATTTCTGGATGAAAGGGGTGTCGTTAATTATGATCAAGCAAGGGATTCTCTAAAGTTTCAATATACTTATTATGAAGAACCAACAAATATAACTGGAATCCGTAACAGATCCATTGACGTAAGTTTCTTTATCATATATATTGTTATTGTTTTCTGTGGTAGACTGGCTGCCAGCACAGCCTAGAGGACCTCAGTTAACCCATAACTGGCGTGAGAAGAGATGGATTCATACCTTTCACCAAATCTGACACATGATAATATTTCTGTTTTTTTTTTTTTTTTTTTTTGTTTTAGACATTTCTTGTGGGGTGGATGTTTGCCCAATATGCCATAAAATATGGTAATTATAACTTCTGTTTGCTGACTTAGCTAAGGGAGATAACTCCAGTGTAAGCAGCACTGATTTAGCTGATGTCATGAACTAATCCCCATTGATTTGCTCACATCATAAGAATAATGAGTTCAATAATCTGAACAACTCTTAGTATAATAATGAGTTTTCTCAAAACTATAGAAGTTATAAAGTGAATAGATTAACTGAGACATTATGGTGACAACAAAGAATGATTTCATTAATCTGAACAAATCTTGGAATGAAAATGACTTTGCAGAATTATCAACAGTAATGTCATAGTAATAATAATAGTAGTAGTAGTAGTAGTAGAAATAGTTTTAAGTTGTTTGAATTTTTACATGAAATTTCATCAGATGAGTTAGTAGCTATGGTCAAATGCAAAAAGAAATTAAAGAACTGTCAAACAAAAAGAATTGACAAAGTTTGCAATAAAAAGAAAATGGAGAAAAAATGAAATACCATATTTCCTAGCTTACAAGACAATGTGGCTTGGAAGACATACACTAATATTGGAAAGAAATTTCTAAGAAAAAAATTCATTCTCATACAAAAACACATCCACCATGCATCCCTTACATGCTGACACCACGTATTGTTTACATTAATCACTTGTCCAATTTTGTTTGTATAGCAATGGCATACAAGTCAAGAGCAAAATGGCTCTCACTGCTGCTAGTAAACAGAACATGTTTAATCTTGTGACTCAGCTCCAGGAAGGTTTATAGTCTTGGAAATACTTGTAGCAGCTAAGTACTGAGGTTACATCATATAAACGGCTGAATTAGATAGATAGCTAACATTATAGTGTAATGACTCAACATACAAATCCACATCCCTATCAGTCAAGCCAATTAGGTGACCATCCAAGCTTACTTGAGCCTGGATGTTGCCTTACATTCGTCTTGGAAGACACACACATATTTTTCAGGGTATTTTTTAGGAAAAAAGTGCGTCTTGTAAGCCGGAAAATATGGTAATATCAAGCAAGCAAACAAGCAAATTCACAGGTGAGAAGGCAAAAAGTTTACAAACTATAAATTGGCATCTACACACAAAAGCAAGGCCAGACAAGTGAACACAGTGGTCTGTCTTCAAGATAAGGCAGATCTGGACTGAGTTAAGTCAAGTTATAAACCGACCTATTTTATTGGCTAAGAAAAATATACAAGCATGCATTTGCAGACTTCTGCCTATAAAAGGGGAGGGAAGAAAAGTTTTGCAGTCGTTCCAGATTTTTCATTTTTTTTTTTTCATTTTATCATAACCTTTTATCAGTGTGTAATCATTTGATATCTTTTTTGACTTAGTGTGAAATTTATGTCATGTAGTATCTTCTGATGAAATTTGAACTTGTATTTCATATCTTGTGATCTTGCATGGATGATACCATAACCAATTTCACCACAAATTTTATAGCTTGATGGTCAACAAATCTACAATCATATTGTCACTTTTCTTCAAATTTTCACACCATATTCATTGTTTTTTCTCCCTTGTAAATCATAAATTATTTGAATTCTGAAAAAATAAAGTATTAATTTTATTGAATTTTCATCTTGTTTCTTTTTACCACAACTCCCCATGAACAGTGTCTCTTACTCTGTAACCCTCTACTTCAAGTAAAATACAGAACAAACATCATTGTGAGTAAAAAAAAAACGTTCTCAGTCAAATATACTGTGACCATAGCTTAGATTAAATTCCATCAAAAATGAAATTTGTGTCTAGTACCCTGGAAGTTCATCTTTTATGGATGACACTTTTGTTGTGGTCATATTAAAAATCAGAAGTTAATGCTTCCATGACTAAAGGATAAATGACTAAAGATCTTGTCCCCGTGTAACTGTACCCTGCAGAGTTTTCATTTGGAAAGAAAAATAAATCTGATTTTATTCCAGTCAGTTAAATCACTTCCTGCTATAAGCAAAAAGCCTTTTTTTAAAAAGCAGAGAAATTTATTCTCAAATGAGAAAACATCATTTGCTGAAGACATCATGCCACTTTGTCTCTACTACTTGTGACAACAATTGTGTATGTCTATTTTGGAGTATGTCTATTGTCCTCATTTCTGAGATGAGATAACCCTTATTTCGATCAATGGGGTACAGTTCTTGAAGAATGGCTGGAAAGCTCCACTGCCTTAACCAGGTATTGAACTCACCTTCTTTGCTGAAAACGCCTTTGACAAATAAACGTGACAAATATTGAGGACAATAGTCCGACTAATGTAAATACTGTAATTGTGGAGTAATTGGCAAAATTCTCAATAAACAATAAGAAAAGGAAGAAAAGAACAGGGCAAAATAATACTAAGTAATCAATATATATGCCAGACAAAACTAAGCAAAGCAACGGTAATCATGCAAAAAGTTTGCATGGTAAGAATAGTGTTCACACGCAAGTCAAGTGATTGTAGTATTTTGACTTCAAGACAAAAAAGAACAAAAATATGACAGATGAGACCAAGAAGTGGCTACAAAGAAATGCCAGCATGCATCTGTAGCATTTGTGTATAAATTTGGAGAGAATTATGTTTTTAGTAGTCTTTCCTTTTGGATTGGAACCAACATTTTGATGGAAGGTGGCCTTTAAGTTGGGGAGGAGCATGGGGAAGAATCTGTACATTAAGTTCATGTCCTTTTCATGAGGAGGTGTCAAATCATTTTCAGGTAGTCAAAGCACTAGACTCTTCTTGTGATGGACCTGTCTACTATAAAGATTTTTTAAATTCTAATTTACACTTGAAACATACTAAGTTTTAATGAAAGAAAGTGAAAAAAGTTCTAACTGCCAACATGAAAGCCATTTTGAAAGATGATGCTTTCAATGAAGTTAAAGTTACAGACTTCACTAGATGATGGTAGCGCTACATCAAGATGGTGAAAATGCTACATCATTTTAATTATTATATAGAAGAGAAAGGAAAGAGGTTGTATTGATAAGGACATGAATTGGAAGTTAACATTTTCATTGCTAAAGAATAAATGACTAAAATCATGTCTCTGCACAACTGTATCATGCAGAGCTTTTGTTTGGAAAGAAAAATAAATCAAAATATATTCAAGCCAATCAAATCACTTCTTGCTAAATCCAAAACCCTCTTCTGTGATCTTCAAACTTTTAAAAAAGGCAGAGAATTTCTTCTCAACCAAGACAACATTTTCACCTTCTGACGACTTTGTCACTTTGTCTCTCCAACTTTTGACACAAAATTGACTGCCATGTGGACTTTTAAGCTGGCTTAATTATACTCTTTTTATTCTCATTTCTGTGAAGTTTATTATGTTCAAAACGTTCTATTACAACAACTTTAAAAAAATTTCACTAGATTTTATTAGGCACTTTAATACTTTCTTTAAAATGATATAATGAATACATTTACAATGTTGTATAATAATGATTTCAATCCCATGAGGAATGACTGCAAAACACGTTTCCCTCCCCAATTTATAGTCAGAAGCACACAAATGCATGCTGGGATTTTTTCTTGGCCAATAAAATAGGCCAGTTCTCAGTTTCATATTTCTCAGTTCTGGTCTGTCTTGCCTTGAATCTGAATTTACTTGTGTGTCAACCCCAGTTCTTTGTTTGTGAACTTTTTGCCATATTACTATTGCTTTGCTTTGCATATAAACAGTTTAACAGTGACAGATATTCTTTTCCTTCTTTCCACTTTTCTTCTTATGGATGGTTGGATCACAATGCATATATAACCATAAGCAACTACCACTGACCTCCAGCCACATACAACCAACCCAACCATACTTGCAGATCTACTATGAAACTAATGAAGCTTAAGTTTCAGGGATCCTAATCCCAGAGGGGCTCCTGAAGAAATGGTTTTTCATGAGCAAATTTTTCAACTTTTTTAAGTGTCTGTTATTAAAATAAGGCCATTTTTGTGATAAAATCATAAGCCAGTGGGTTGAAATAGTTAATGTTGGCCTTAGAATATGCTTTAATACCCACTTCATATGGCCTCAAAATTCCCCTGTAATTGACCATATTTCAAAATTTTCTTGGGGGCTTGCAGCAACCAAACTCCCACCTGTAAGGGCTCGTTGAGTCCACCAGAAGCTATTTTTAGCCTACATTTTTGCAATTGGATCCTCAAATTTATTGTTGCTGGTTGCAAAGGGGCCACCATATCTGTTAAGCTCCAGAGCTCTAAAAATGTAGGTTTACCAATGCAGTTCAGCCATGGGATGCTCTGGCTTGATGGAGAATAAATCTACAGTTATATCGTCACATTTCTCCTCCAGATTTTTAAACTATTTTGGTTGTTTTTTTTGCTTACTAATAAGTTGTAAATTATTTGAATTGAAATATTTCCATTATTAATCATTGTTGTTGTTTTTTGCTTTTTCTTTAAGTTTTGAAGAACTATTTTCCCCCCTCATTTTTCAGATGATGTCCGATTACATGTTTGGTGCTGGAATTGATGAAATAGTCAAATGGCACAGTAGATACAATGATACTTATCTATATGTATTTGACTATCGATCATGGAATGACTACCTTCCCCCTTGGCGAGGTGAGGTCTTATTTCTTCTTAATACCTATCTAATCCCCCACTCTCTCTTACTCAACCATTTTCTTCCTTCTCCTCTCTCCATATACCTCAAGATTCTCCAAACAGATTAGGCCTATGGTTCCTAATGTGTGGGGCAATTTGATTTTTAAGTGGGGCAATTCGAGAATGAGTTATTAACCGTGAATTTATTCTAGTGAGTCTGTGTGATTGTGTATGAGTTAATGCATATGGTGCATATATAGTATGTGTACATAAAAATATTTATGTGTATGTATACATGTATATATGTAATTGCTGCATATAATATATTTATATTAGTAACACAATATTTTTATGAATATTGTAGAATTATAAAATTAAATGATAATACTATTGCATAAATACAGTCTCAAATTCTTAAGGAAAGTTAATGGCTTTTTAGACTTCTTCCACGTAAATAAGAATTCATTTATTAAATAATAATAATTATATGTCATGGGATGAGGGTGCATCAAGATTTTAGAGATACTTAGGAGAGGTTTAGGAACCACTAGATTAGACTCTTCCATGATAAGAAGAAAAGGTTAAAGTAGAAAGTAGTTTGATGTTGTTTGTCACATTGTCATAAATCTTTGGCAAACATGAACCTTCATACCCTCAAAAAACAGTATGAAAAGATGTTTTTTCCCTTGACACTGCTATTATTTTAACTACCTTCACTCCTTGGCAATGTTTATTGTCTTAAAAAGCAATGCTTAGAATTGTAACAAAACCTAAACATTTGATGAAAGTGAATTTATACATTTTTTCTTTGCTCTCAAGAATTTACAACAAAAATATTCAACACTATTTATTAGATTGTTTATTTACAAGAATAATTTTATATTTATAACATTCGAAAAACTAATGCAATTAAAACTAATGCAATGCAATATTTATCATTTACTAACTTATAAAGAAATAAATATGGAAACATTTTTTTATTCATAAATTTATAAACATTTACTAAATTATTAAAATATGTGAACCAACTCTAAGGAAATCCTTATTATTTACAATTTTATAAAGTTTGAATTGAATGACATTTAGCAAATGCTTTGCTAAACATTCCAATAAACAATATAAGAGTGTAAATAAACAATTTAATAAACAAATAGTGTTTCTTATTTTTGCTGTCAATTCTCAAGAAGAAAGAAAAATGTATAAATTCAATTTTATATGTTTAGTTTTTATTAAAATTCTAATCATCACTTTTTAAAACAATAAATATTGCTGAGGAGTGAAGGTAATTAAAATAATAGCTGTGTCAAGGGAAAAACTGTCCTTTTGACACACTGCTTTTTAGAGGGAGATGGGGACAAAGTTTATAGAGTGCAAACTAATGTATCATCCTAACTAATCTTAAATATATTACAATTGGTGAAAAAAAGCAGTGGATTGACAAGGACAACTCTCTACAACCAACCCAAAAAGCTAAGCTACTTGGAAGAACGATAACATTTTATGCATGGTGGGATTATGAATGAAATATGTATTCTATCGGGAACATTTTTTTTTTTTTTTTGTGTAGAGAAAATTTCAAGGAATTAAGTCTCTTTAAAGAATGAAGGAAAAGTCACATGAATCTCATGACTCCCTCTTACACAAAAGGAGGTAATATTCCTTTGAATCCTTACAGATGCATTTAAACTTTGATGGCTTCTTTCAATTCCTTTATGCACAACTGAGGTTAAAAAGTGAACATTATTTCTGAAATAAAGCCTATCTGTGTATAATACTGAATATATAATACAGTGGAAATAGAATCTTGACTAGGCAGTAGTTGAGTCCCTCGATGCCATGATGATGTGTACAGCTGACAATTCAGGTGGACTTTTATATATACTGCTGGCCAAAATCTTGAGGCCAATGAAAGTAAAAAAAAGATATACCTTTTGCATTGTTAGACTCAATTACTTATTTGAGTAAAACTTTTTAAAAAAATGAAAATAAGAAAAATTATAATTAAACTCATTTTTAGCATTTCATGGGGAAAATCTGAATACTGGGAAATTAGGTGAAATACTAGCTGATCAAAAGTTTAGAACTATATCTAAATGAAGCTTTAATTGGTAAACACATACCAAAATATAGTCATTTGTGTTTAAGCATTAGTGCAGTCAACATCTCCTACTGGTATCTCCTGTGTTACATTAGGTAAAAACATTGCAAAGGCTAAAAAGTTTGTGTTTGATTCTGCCATATTCGAACTCTTTCAATGTGCCATTGCTGGTGAGATTGGATGTAATAAAACTGCTGTTGCAAATTTGTTAAAAGACCTTGAGGGATCAAAGTTTTAAGATTAAACTTTGCTGAAAAGCCAGAAAAGAGTTCCACAAGAGAAGAAACTGTTAGCATAGAATTTATGGTTACATCTAACCATTTCATTTGTAAAATGATGAGACCTTGCCACCAATCTAGTACTGCACTTAAATTCTATCTAACATCTAGGAAACCATAGAATGCTTTAAGGAGTATCATACTCTTATGAAATATTACAACATTTAGGAACCTAACATTAGTTTTATTTCACTTGTTTCTTTATTTTTATCATCTAAAATAGTTAAAAATTTCATTTTTATAGTTTCATATGTGGAAATAATAATAAAAAAAAACACCTTTTTAAAAAATTGATTGTCTTTTTTACCTGTTTGCACATTGATGCAATTTTTTTTCCCATCATTTAACCTTTAACACTCTACATTATTCACTACTTTCCTTTCCACCACATTGTTTTTCAAGTCTCCTCTACTTTACTACTTAATTTCAGTCATGGTCATTTTCTGTTGCCATAGCAGGATATGACAGCACAACTGCAAAGTTCAAACATGCTATCATTCATTCATCTGAGTCACCATCCTGGGTAAGATGATAAACTACATCCAACAGCAAGGCCTCTGATCAGGTTTTGAGGACAGTGAAACCATCTCTTAATTGCTGGTGTTCCCAGTTCCACCCTGACCTGGGGTGGTAGCACATGTTAGAGTCCCAGCTATGGGCAAATAGTTAACCCCAAAACTGAAGTAAAAACACTATGAAAGTGTAAAAATAGGTTTTAATACCAGAAATACTTTGTAAAAAAAAAAATCATTACTCTCAATACATTTTTAAAAAAAAAATATTACCAGCAATACATTTTTGACAAAACAAAATATTACCAGCAATAAAAATTTTGTCAGCATTAAATAACCCATGGAGGTTGATATGCTGTAAAACAAACCAAACCAAACTAACTGAGTCACTTGCAGTGGCAGGATAAAATTTTTGCTTTGCAAACAAGATCACCTCCAGAATGTTAATAGTTTTAGCAGTTAAGCAACTAGAAAAAAAAATACAAAATTGAACAAAAGAAATTACTAAATATGCTATTTTAGACTATATTCAAGAATTTTACCAATTCAGTTACTTGTCTTTGTATTTTATTTATTAGATCCAAACATACAAAATTAAAGCAATTGCTAAATCTTATGCAAATATTAATCAACCCAAGTAAACAAAATAATATATGTAATAATATAAAAAACTGAAACAATTTCTAATTCTTGTTCAGATATTAATCAACCCAAGCACTGATAAAAATGCTGATAAAAGAAAGAAAATTGTGTAAAATGCACAATTTTTCCAGATTAGATTAATCTACAGTTTCTATATTTGTTTTCACGAACATAATTAGTTTAACTGAAGATTATCTCACTTTTGTTTTTTCTCACGTTACAGGTGTTGCCCATGGCCAGGAACTTCAGTATCTTTTTGGCTTCCCATATTTTACAAGATGTTACCGTGAGATGAGCGGTGTCTATCCGCGACAGGACTACAGTTATGGAGACCAAGAAATAAGTGAAATGATGATAACACTATTCACAAATTTTACAATGCATGGGTGAGGAAATAGAAATAATAATTTACATTCAGTTGAAAACATTACATGAATCTGTCAATCCCTTATAAGGGGGGGGCTAGATGCCAGACATTGCCTGTAGAGTCTTGCTTTATTTTTTCATAAACATGCCTATGATATAGTCTAATGTATTAATTAGACTTAATAAGAGATTAACAACAATAACTAATAGTAAAATAAAAGAATGATACAGTAAGTTATGCAACGGAGAGAAAATTCATTCTGACCATAGATCTTAGCAAACTCCCACATATAATGGTTTTTCTTGCTTTATTGAGAACTTTGAACTTTTCCCTTAAAGACAGCATTGTATGACTTCTCTTTGGCATATCCAAATTGTCAACATCACCATTATTGCATTTTGGGACCATTAAGTAAATCTGATGAATTGTTTAATTCTGGGGTTAAGCATGTATAACTGAAGCCACAGTAATTCAAATGGCAGAGAAGAGGAAACCTCTGTATTTAATTTCTAATCTTAAATAAAAAGAAAAGAAAACAGAATCCATTTGAAGTGTAGCAAAGAGGTGCAATAGTTTTTTAATGGATGATATAGCTGTTGGTCACTAGTACGTAGCAGGAGTTATGACATGTTACTGATGAGGATGAAAACTTTCAGAATAAATGAATTTAATGTTTTCAGAAGAAATGAATTCAATATGTGGAGAATTTTTAGGCATATTTATATAAAGTACAACATAGCTCACAAAAGAGAAAGATAAAATTATATTTACATTTAAATAGCTTTAAAATATGGAAGAAAATCATTTATATTCTGTAGTATTGTGTGTGTAATGTCCACATGGTTGGATTGACTAGAACAACATCTAGTAAAGGTTCTGGTAGACAAGATGGGATCATCTCCACAGAAGAAAGAGTGAAAGAAATATGAATTATGGGGTTGGTGCTATCAAGAAGTTATCTTAAACAAGAAGGGTTTCTGTTGTCCACAAAACCCTATAAATGTTAATAACGCTTCTCAAAATTACAATAAGTATCTGGTGATGAGTTCTGAAATTCCTTCAGAAGGATACTGGATACATGAGGCAAAGATATAAGAACAACTCAACTTTACTTCTCTGTTATTTAAATCAAGTAAGTAATAAGATGACCAGGGTTCTCAGGGTTTTGTAGTGATTGAACACATCTCCAAGCTTTAAACTTACATCTTCATTTTTCTTAGTTTTAATTTATCAACTGAAATGAAAACAACAAAAATGAAGTTGTTATCTCAAAACATGTGGAATAAGAAAAATACTTAATCCTCAAGCTTCAGACAACAATTCTTATTACTTGTTTTTGTATTTCAATATATTTATTTTTCATTTTTTTTTTTTTTTTTTAAATCAGGAATCCCACTCCTTGGCGCCACACCATGCCATTGTTAACTGATATCATTTGGCCAGAATTCCACCTGTATAATCAAAGTCACTTGCTCATATCCAATCATACAAAAGTTGAACATGGTTTTCGACAACAAGAATATGAGTTCTGGACAGACTACTTCCCTACTATTATGAAAAGTAATGTATTTTTATTATGACCATTCATTATGAAAAGTAATGTATTTTTATTATGACCATTCATTATAAAAAGTAATGTATTTTTATTATTACCATTCATTATAAAAAGTAATGTATTTTTATTATGACCATTCATTATAAAAAGTAATGTATTTTTATTATGACCATTCATTATAAATGTAATGTATTTTTATTATGACCACCATAAAAAATAATGTATTTATATCATGACTTCTATGATAAGTGTATATCAATAAGTTCAAAGCCTGAGAGAGTTCTTGGATGAATTTTGACTTAAGATTTTCACTGTTTATTAATCAATTTATTATTACCATATAATGTTATTTTGTTAGGTACATGTGTTTACGTTAACTGTTTTTTTTTTTAATTTTCTTTAGTAAATAATGTCAACTAGCTTAGATCAAAACCCAACTAAAGAAAAATGTGGTTGACATTAATTTCACTATTTAAAAAGGGATTCTGCCTTATCTTGTCATAGATGGCATGTTTATATAACTTCCAATTATCCAAATTCTACAATCTTAACCACTCTTAAAGTGGTTAAGATTGTAGGTTTAATCAAGGTTTAATCATTGTAGGTTTAATCAAGGTTTAATCATTGTAGGTTTAATCAAGGTTTAATCATTATGAATCTTCTATATCCACATAATCCCCACTTCCTACCTTCACATTGATTTCACACACCTCATTCAGCAACACTCTAGCTTGAGTCGCTCTTGAATGAACATTAGTTAAAAATGAATATAGAAAATAATTGGTCAATAAGTGGAGGACACTGGAGGCAGACATTTTTTTTTTTTTTTACCATATCATCCCAAGCAGAACAATACAGCTACTAACATGTAAGCAGTAATTGAGTGTTAGAGAATGAGAAAAAGAAAAATATACTAATAAGAAGGGAGGACAATAAAAGAACAGGAGTTAAGAAGACAGAAGATAATGACTGAAATTAAATATAAATTTTGAAAGATCAAAATTGGCTAAGAAGTAAGAAGCCAGAAAAGAGTTCCACAAGTGAGAAGTGTGAAAGAAGAAACTGTTAGCATAGAACTAATATTTACATCCAGCAATTTCAACTGTAAAATGATGAGACCTTACCATACTGTGCTTAAATTCATAAAATCTACGTACCATAAAGGACTGTTCATTAGAGCAATTACTATGAAAGTTGATTGATTTGTTTTTTATGGCTTATCAATCCTTTGCAGATTATTTAAAGCCAGAAAATATTTTTAGATTGGGAAAAAAATTTTTTTTTTGTTTTTAGGAAAATAAAGGTTTAGGTTTTACTAATTAACCTATAGATGGAGGGAGTCATACCTTTTCCAAGGGTATTTACATGTAAGTGAATATAACAAACCCAATGAGAATTAGAACCAATTAACACTTCCAAACCACTGTCCATTACACTAGCCACACATTCAAGCTTACAGCACCTGATATTCCCAGAAGATTCAAAAAGTAGTAAAAATAGTCTTTAGTTGAGTTAAAGTCTTCTGGTAGTTGATCTACAGGAAAATCTGTGCTTTAGGAAAAAAAATTATCATTAGCGAAGATTCACTGACTGTCCAAGCTGTTGCTGATTTGTTTGAAGTTGCTGATACATGTTTCTTTCACCAGGCACTGGGAGGAAAGAAAAAAGCTATGTAGTCATGTCTTCTCTTCAGCTTGGAGACAGTTGCATCTCTGTTTTCTAAAAGTTCTAATCTGTGGGTTTTTATAAAATAATTTTCCCAAAAGAAGGATTGAGAAAAAAGGGTTTTTGTTTTATCTGATTGGTTAAATATCTCGCATAGTGATGTTAATTTCTAACCAATAGACACTTTGATTTAAATGGTACGTATTGTATTGTGGAATCTTTTTCACATGTTTGTAAATATTGTCTTTTATTGGTTACAAAATAAAGCCTGGATGTGTTTTCATATGGTATGTATGTGTTTATAGAATTGTGTTGGAAATAGCGTTTCTTTCCTATTCCCTCTCTTTTCACAGCTACACAACACATACATATTTTTTAGAATTAGGATACAAGATCTATGTGTTTTTCTTTAGTATCTTAACAGATTTTTTTGTTGTTTATTTGCAGAAGCTTCTCAATGTTTTTGTGATCAAAAGTGCAATTCCGAGGATTCAGCAATGTACAAGAGAGCCACATGGTCCTTGGTGGTGGCCAATTGCCTTTTGATTCTTGTCATCCTAGGAATGTCCATCATGATGTACAGAATCACCAGAATTAAAGACTATTAAAGAAAAGCAGGACATCTAGAATTATTTTCCAAACATGAAGAACTTTAAAAAAAAAAGCAAAACATTTCCAATTCAACAGTTTGAAGACTCCTGAGTTGAAATTAAGAAATTCAAAAAACTATAATGGATTTTTTTTCATAATTTTATGATCAAAAACTATCAAAAGAAAAATCAAAGAAGTACTATTTGCTCAGCTTAGCTTAGTCTGACACAAGGCCACAATAGTAGGGTACCTCACTACATCAACCGTCAAACACAGTCAGTTTGCTGAACATTACACTTGCAGGTGTCCTTAGTAAACTTTGTTTACTTGGGTCAAAGCTTATATTAAAATCCCCATTGAGGATTGTGGCTTAATCATACAAGCCTACAAGACTAATACTCTAAACAATGCTCAATAACAGGAATCCATACTTTCAAAGAAGTATCTGAAGAAATCATTTTTTTTATTTTATGAAGAATATATTTGTATTTAGTCTAGGCCCAGCACCAATGTAGGACTATCCCCACTAAACACACATCATTCCGCTGCATAAGAAAATCATTTGACACACCCCTTGTGAAAATGTGAAATAATTTTAATGTTCAAGTTTTTATACACAACCACTCAACCTGACTTAAAACTCCCCAAATCACACTCAAGACACTCTGGTGTTGGGCCTGATTTAGTCTGTGTAGATTTTTTTTATATTTTAAACTACAAAATTTGAAGCTCTACATTTAAAAAAAAAAAAAAAAATGAGTTAAGAACTAAGAAAGTTATCTAACTTTACAGAAAATTTGAAATGGTTTAAAAATTTATTCATTTCCTACTTTAAAATTCTTGAATTTGAAATCTCATTTTAAAAGTAAAAAGAAGTCCCCACCCCCAAACGTTTCTTTCCTGCATAATCCAGCAATACCTTAATTCTCTGTCAGGGTTTATTATTTCAGAGAAATTCTTTACATTTAATTTTTTTCTTTCTTTTGGGTGATTTGACTCAGAAACATGAAAATTTTATTCTTGCCGAAGATGTGAAAAAAAAAAAATATATTCAAATTTTGCTTAATAATTCTCTGAGAATCCATACCAATCTCAAACCTGTATGATAAATCACATATTTTTTTCATATCTAGTTGAAGTTATTGTATTTTTATTATTTAGAGGGTGCTTAAAGAAAACCTCATTGAGTTAATCATTAACCATCTACAACCAACAATTGTATATAATTATAGGTAAACTTTATAAATAGAAGTTAAATATATTTTTGTATTTGGCTTTCATTTCTAAAATTCCTAAAAATTTAGTAAATTTTTGTTTGTTTTTTTTACCCATCTTTATTTCAAAAGTTTGTCTGCCTTTTTTCATTTAGATTGTCTATAAAGAGAAATTGAAAATAATACCAGAAACTGTTTTTTGTTATCAATGCAGATAAATATTATTAGATAGCATTACTATAGATATATTAGTAATTATTATAGAACAATCATTTGAGACATTATTATTAAAGTAATAATTGTTATTTCAGAAAGTGTTATTCGTATTGAAACTTATTAGAGAAAAATTCCACAAAGCCCAACATGTCAGTTTGTTAATCTTTGGGCCAAAGAATTCTTAAATTTCTTCTTCATTTCTTGAAATTAATTTTTTTTTTTTGTTGCTGCTGTTGTTATTTAGTGTTATTTATTCATTTTGGAGGCACAATGGATAGCAGCATGGATTGAGGAATTGTAAAGCAGAGTTCAAATTCCAGTCGAGTTGGTTATATTCACTTAAGTGCTAATACCCTTGGGAGAGGTATGAATCCAACTCTTCTCCACACCAAATATGGGTAAAATAGCTGGGCATATTGTGTCCTATAGCCTTGGTTAGCAACCAGTCTAGGAGAATTTTAAGCTTTTAAAGTTAAATTTTTAATCAAAGGACAGTTGCTGTCTGTTTATTTACTTCTATTTCAGTTGTTCCGTCATGTATACACCATTGATCCCAATGGTTCTACTACAACCCCATCATGGAAGTCATTAAATAATAAAAGAAAAGAGATTTGCTTCCAAGGATACATGTATACAAAACAAATAAGATCAACTACTATCAGATTTTTTTTTTTTTTTTGCTATTTTCCACTTGTGCCATTTTCACCAGTGTCATTATGAGTTAATAATTATTCCAAAATAATATAGAAAATAGGAATAATGCTCAAAGATGATCAGAAACCAATCTGTTGAAAATGGATTCCTTTTCAACTTCTTCTATGTACAGTATCCCTTCAGGACATTGACGCTCATGGTTCTCCACAACTTCCTATCCTTTGTAGTGCTTCGTACAATTTGTCTTTTCACTGTCCCTCCCACTTCCTGTTCTTCCATCCATTTACACAAGCTTGTTAGACAGGTTACTCTCTGCTTTCCTCTGTCTTTCTTACCTTCAATACGTCCTATGAGTGTCAAATTCTCCAAGCCCTGTTCCATACTGGGTATGACAATAAACTACATCCGCGTCCTGGGCAAGACAATAAACTACATCCAACAGCAAGGCCTCTGATCAGGAGGTTTTGAGGAGCATGGAACCACCTCATAATTGCTGGTGTTCCCAGGTCCACCCTGACCCAGGTGGTAGCACCTGTTAGGGTCCCAGCTATGGGCAAATAGTTAACCCTCAAAATGGGGTGAAAATACTATGAAAGTGTAAAAATATGTTTTAATACCAGAAATAGTTTGTAAAAAAATTATTACCAGCAATACGATTTTTTTTTTTAAATTTACTATCAGCTATACATTTTTGAAAAACAAATATTACCAGCAAAGGAAAATTATAACCAGAAAGATTTTTTGAAGGGAAAATAGATTTTTTGAAAAAAAATATTACCAACAATGAAAATTTTGTCGGCATTAAATAACCCATTGAGGTAGATATGCCGTAAAACAAAATAAACCAAACCAAACTGATTTCTTACAAAGAATACATATTCTATTCATATGAATCTATCCTAAAATTTTTGTCGGCTTTAAATAACCCATTGAGGTTTGATATGCCATAAAACAAAACAAACCAATAAAACCAAGCCCTGTTTCCTCTGTCCTATAAATTTTAACTTTCTCTTTTTGATTCTAAGTATAAGCATCCTTTTTGTTTCTTTTATTCTTAAAACTTCCTTGTTACTCACACGTTTAGTCCATGGTATTCTGAGCAATCTTCTGTAGAACCACATTTCTGTTGCCTTGTCTCTTCATATGTGATAAGATTATCCAGCATTTACTGCCATATAGGAGAACTGATAAGAATTCAGTTCCTAATTAAATTTTCCTGTTTCTTAATACTTAGCTTAGCTTTTGTGAGACATCTTTTGTAATTTCGATGTGCCTTCAGATTTCTGTGTCATATTTTCTGTTCTCTGTTAAAACACATCAAACAGATGTTTAAATTTTTATGTTTGCTTGATTTTGGCATCCTCCAGTTTGTAGCTTGTATCTTGGGATGTTCCTCTTTCTGACAACCATAACCTTCTGTCTTCTTACAATTGAGGTTTAATCCTTTCTTTTCACTTTTTCCTTCTCTAGGCGCTCCTGCAGTCTCCTTTCTGTGTCTGCCATCAACACAGTGTTATCTGCATCAGTGGCATAGCTAGAGTAAACGTCACCTGGGGCAGTCCACTCAAATGTCACCCCAATGACCCCGATTCACCCTATGCTGAATGGTTAGCTGTAGCTAAATTTTCATACATGCTCTACCTCTACTTTACTCTACTGACCGGTACGTTACTGTTTATATGTATGATCCAAGACAAAATCCAATACCACAAAATAATCAGTTCAAATCAAAAGCTGAAAACATTGCTATTTTTCCTATTCACAAATTTCCCGACAATTTATTAGAAAATTTCTGAAGGGGGGACAAAACTGGTGGGTCATAAATTATTTCTGGGGAATCATATGCCTGCCTGCAAAACTCTGTGTCTCCACCACTGTTTTCAGACTATTTTTGGCACCTTAGCCTGGTTGAAAAATTTTGTTGGGGGTGACATTGTGTCACCCCTCCTGTGCAGTACGCCTCCCTCGCCCACCCCACCTAGCTACACCACTGATCTGCATATTGTATGTCATTAAGATCATGTCCACCAATAATTAAAAGGACTTCTAGTTCTCACAAGATTCCTTTTACTACCTCATACTTTTTAACTATGTGCAGGGTGCCACAAAATGGGTGTAAATCAAACGTCTTGATTCTATATTTTATAACTAATTGTCTAAAAAATGAATATTTTTTTTTGTTTTTTATTTTCTTATTTCTCTTTGATGTCCTACTGTAAGCATTTGATTTTAAATACAGTTTTTGCTTTTCACTTGTACAGGGTGTGGCAAAAATACCTCCCCGTCTCAAAAATACCCTCCATATAATGGTAAGACATTAGCTAGATGATGACACCAATGCCACTAATGTCTTACGATTATGTGGGAGGTATTTCTGCTGGCCCCTGTACTTATTTTCTGAAATGAGACCTATAGACATTTTCTATATAAAAGTTTTGGAAAAAAAAATGGAAAAAAAAGTTTTTTGATTTATTTAGAAAAAGTATTCTCTTCTCGGTTCCGGTAAAAGGTTAGGAGTCTTTAGCCCACCCATCTCTGCCTCCTGTTGATGAGGTGATTAATCCTGTTCTTTCAAATTTCCTTTATAATAGTCTGACAATTACTTAGGTCTGTAAAATTAAAATCACCTGGGATTTATGCCCTCTTGATATTTTTTTTTTATATTTGAGAGGGTTGATTACATTCACTTATGCGTAAATACTCTTGGGAAAGGTATGAATCTGTTTCCTCTCTCTGGCTATGTGTTAAATTGTTAATACAATATTCACTTGTGAAAAATATTCTTACTGACAAAACAGGATCTTGCTCAATAAATAAATTGACAGCACTTCATCAAACAATAGAAAAATTCACTCAATGTCTAAATGTTTAATCCATTTTGACAGGAAGGGAGACAAGCTAAGTCACTGTTTAGAACACATCCATTAAACTGA